TTACCTTAGTAGTCGCGAGTAATTGACGTCATATTAACTCCCCAAAGAGTAGATACTGAGCAAGATAGTTATCTGTAGTTTACCTTAGTAGTCGCCAGTAATCATTATTATTATTATTTTAATTTGATTTTTCTTTCATATTTTAATACTTTAATTTCACACAGCGGTACCACGTTTGTGCGGGAACAGTGGAGATGCTGATGGCGTTTTTGTTGGTCTGTTCTTTGAGTTTTTGGGGTCCCTGTCCAGCGAGCCATTAAGCCATTGGGCCATGGCTCTATTGTTTTTACCCTCGTGAACAGCTGTTGGCGCTGAGCCAGGCCAAGCCACCGCCGTGGGAGAGACCGGACATCCCGATGAGCTGGAGGAAGAGGGGATACAGGGCAGGAGTGAAGCGCTGGGAGAAGAGGAGATGCTACAAGCCGTCCGTCCGTCATCATGGGATATGTGAGGTCTCTCCCAAAGGGATGGAAGAGCTAACGGCTAACAGCTAACAGCGCTGGCCCGGCTGCAGTGGGAATATCAGGAGTGCAGCCTCATGCTGTTCACGGAGTCGTGGCTGAACGAACTCACTCCGGACTCACTCATAGCTTTGAACGGATTTCACCTGGTCAGAGCGGACCGGAGCAGGAGGGAGAGTGGTGAGAAGAAAGGCTGGGGACTCACCATGTATGTGAATGAGAGATGGTGTAATGCTGGGCACATTAGTGTTAAAGAGCGGCGCTGCACGAAGGATGTTGAACTGCTGGCGGTTGGTTTGCAGCTGTTTTACCTGCTGAGGGAGTTTTAGCACATCCTGGTGATTACAGTTTACATCCCTCCCTCGGCTGATGCTGCTGCAGCCGGTGAGCTCATCCATAGTTCAGTGTCCCAGCAGCAAACATCACACCCTCAGTCTGTGATCGTCATCCCAGGAGACTTTAATCATACGTCGCTCTCTACCACTCTCCCCACATTCAGCCAGCATGCAGACTGACTTAGACCTGCTGTATAGGGACACTGAATGCACATTACTTAATTATTGTTATTTTCTGTACTTCTTTCTGTGTTTTTGGATGCTGCTGTTTATAATAGTTTGTCAGGTCTGGAACAAATAAAGTATATCCTATTCTATTCTGTTCTATATTAACGTCGTATTAACCCCCCAAAGAGGAGATACTGAGCAAGATAATTCTCTGTAGTTTACCTTCCTACTCGTTAGCACTGACCCAGTGCAGGACTCTGCTGTGAAAGTGGAGACATGCGGTGGTGGTGTATTTGCAACAACAACAACAACAATACTAAGACCAATAATAATAATACTAATAATAAGATTAGAGATTTAATAAGAGAAGAGATTTTTGGCTAAGAAAATAGCGAGTGATGTATTACAATACAACAGCACCATCTACAGAAACTAAAACCCTCATCAGATCCAGAAAAAAATAACCAAATGCAGGAAAAATAATTACATGGCAAAGAAAAAAAACATCTAATATGGCTTTATGTATTAATAGGAAGAGAGAGATAAGAGAAGAGAGTAAAAGTGGGGGATAAACGAAAGAGTGTAGAGCCATATAAAAACCACAGACAGCCTCCTGCTCTCACTAACAAGTCACTCTCTAAGCACTGCAGCCCTCTAGTGGTTGAAGTCATCCTCAGTGTGTGATTCATTTACCCCCGGACTGCTGCTCTCAGATAGTTTAGTCAGTGTGAGGGTTAACCTGACTGTCTGGTGGATATAAACAGTAAATTACTGGACATGCTGTATGGCTGATTTTCTGGCCTGATGATCTTTATCACAAGTTGTTTTTGTGTGGGTGTAAATTTAGGCTACAGCAGTTAACATCAATACATGCTTGACCCCTGCTAGGCATTCTTTACTTTTCTGATCTGATCTCATTGGTACCGTCAGGCCTTTATAATTAACAGCAATGCGATTTGTCTGGCAATAAGGGAACTGATATTGGTGCATTTTAGCTGAGAAGCAGCCTTGATATTCTGTGTAACGCCATCAAAAAGCAGGAGCTGTGCATTGATTTTAGGGTTAACTCAGGAATGTCAGTTATTTGTTTCCTCCGACTTTAATAATCAGAGTTTATGGACTGGACTTAAAATGTTTTCTTCACTGTACTTCAAGAGAAATGTGTGATTGTTTTCTGCTGAGTGGACTTGAGAGTTTGTATGTTTTTGGTGCCACCATCAGTAAATGATCCAGATTTACTGCTAAATTCAGGCCGTTATCCAGGCATACAGCACCCAAATAAAGCATCTCAACATCTCTGCTCTTGTTGCTTCTTCCTGCAGCACAACCTTTAGGTTTATCGTCCATTTTGCTTTCCATACATGACCACCGAGTAGCAAGTGCACAGCAGCGTTGCAGTCAAACAGTTGCCAATGTACTTATTTGATCATTTCATTATCATCAGCAGTTCAGAATTGCAAGCTCTTGTCATTTCAGATACAGGATGCTCACATGCTTTTAAAGCTGTAATGTTTTAGATGTTTAATCTGTGGGTGCAAGAACTAACGATTCGTCAAGATCAATAATATTAAGCATTGATATGTGCTGTATTAGTGCCATGTACACTGTAAACTGGCTGTAATGTAAAGCACATCCACTTACTCCTCTTAATTAACGACTGTAAAGAAGCAACACGTTTTTCTTTTTAAACATATTTCCACTCTACAGCCTAAGTTGACTTGCATAACTTTGCTGGTGAATAAAACACACAAGTGAATAAGTGTGAAACAGTGAAACTGAACTGGCAGATAGCTGTGGAGAAACAGAGACCAAAGACATTCAGGTGATGTTATTCATCGTTTATTATGCTTTCGTATATATTGGACACCAACACCAGAATCATAACAACCAAATATGTTACACTGTGTGTTACTGAGACATGCAATGTAATGTATTGGTACTTCATTAAATGCTGATTTTTTAATTTATATTGGATTAAATGACATCATCAGGACTGATCACACTTCTCTCCTCAATCTGCAAAAGAAAGAACAGAAAGTTATAATATATAAGAATTAGGGATTACAGTGGTGTTTGGCTTAATTGTTGGTTTGATTTTTAAAATGCAGTGCATGTGTGTTAAACAGGTAAGAAACTTTACAATAAAAAACTTTCAATATATAGCACTTTCAAGAACAGAATTCGCAAAGTGCTTTTACATAATAAAGAAACACAACACACAGAAACAAGGTAACAGGAAAACAACTTGCATAAGAAGTGCAGGCAAACACTCCAAATATAAAAATACACACAATAAAAATGGAAAAGAACAGGCTGGATCCCTATTGGAAGGTGTACTAGTAAAACTGATTAAAAAGACGACATCACAGAGGGGAATGAAGATAAAAGCTGAAGATAAAAGTAAATTAAGAAAGATAAAAAAGAGAAGGACGGCAGGTGGTACCGCTATAAAAAGGGACAAGAAACAGGCGAAAATCTAAAAGAGAAATAAAAGAGAACATCACTCGAAAGTGAGTCTGTAAGAGTGGGTTTTAAGAAGTGATTTAAAAGAAGATACTGAATCTGCGAGGATAATTTCCTCAGGTAGGTCAGTCCAAAGCCGAGCGGCGCTCACAGAAAAGGCCCGGTCGCCTTTGGATTTGAGCCTCGACTTTGGAACGATCAGGAAGGACCCACCTGAGGATCTGAGGCTGCGTGTGGGGATATATGGGGTTAACATATCTAAAACATAGCCACCTAAAAGTCATCAGACAAATCTTAAAATCAATTCTAAAACGGACAGGGAGCCAGTGGAGAGAAGCCAGTAAAGGGAAGATGTGATGTCGCCTGTTAAAACCAGCAAGAAGCCAAGCTGCTGCATTCTGAACAAGTTGGAGGCGAGAGATGGATTTTTGTGAGATGCCAGATCACCGAATATCAACTGAAGACATGATTGTTGCTGTTGCAGCCCCTGGTGGCCTTGTGCTTTTTTGTGGTGGACCGTTCGTAGCCTGTGTGTGGAGAGACGGCCGTCTATAGAGCAGCTAAAGACCCCGCCTGTCTGTCCTCTTGTTCTCCCAGTCCTGCCCTCCCATCCAACAGCAGTAATCACTACAGCAGGACAGAACACTGGAGCAAGACTCAGTCAGGGTGGCTGTGATTTAATGAGAGCAGCTCGCCTCTGATGTTTGATGTGAATATGTAACTCCTGCCAACAGCTTAGTAACTGGAAGGCCACCAAAAACGATTACTTGTAACTCTGAGCTAATATATTTGTGTTCTGAGGCACTCGTTTGTTTGGCTTTGTCGCTGCTCCAATCTGTTTATAACTTTTTGTTAGTCACAGGTGTGTTGCTACAGGTTCTTGACCTGAAAGCAATAGACTGCTTTACCAAAGCAAGAACACCAGGTTTTCTGTTCTTCCCTTTGCTGAGCTGGGATGGAACATTTTCATTTAGAGGAAAACTGTCACCTACCAAATGAATTTTCTGAGAAATGTTGTGATGTTATATGTCGGTACAGTAGATATAGTCTAACTCAGCAGAGTCACCTGAGGGAAAAAAAAGATAGTATTAAAAAAGTATTACAGAAAAAAAGTGCTGTGTGTCCAACACATTTAAAACGTGGTTTAGGGATTGAGGGTTTTACTTGGCTGGTAGTAGTCATAGAGCTTGACCACAGCAGGCTTCAGGCTCTGCACCCGGACCTCCTGTCTGAGCTCCAAGGTGTAGGAGATGGATGTGTTCTGTGGTAACTGAACAGGACAGAAAAACAGATGACAAAATCAGCATCAAGCTCAAACAGCATTATGTGGTAATCAATACTGTGGATTTTTCTCACCTCCTCTATGTACACCACAACACTACCACTCCTTTCTTCAACACGATCCACTTTCGTGGCATCTTTGAGCTGTGAAGAGACGATATTCTTATTTTCATCATCATTGTCAACATGACTTCAGAAACTGACACATTCTTACTACTCTTCTATTTAGGTGAAAGTCACTCTAAGAACTCACCCTCCTCAAGGACTCTGAGTTTGGGACAAATCCAGAGAGCATTTGGATATCCAGGATCACCATGTTTGTACTGTTTTCCTTTCCATTGTATCTGTAACGGAACCAGAACATTGTGATGTTACTTGATAACTGTGTGAAAAAAGGCTTTTTAGTCCACCCACTGGTGCACACTGGTAGATACAAAGATCTTCCATCATATCTGTATCCTGCTTGTTGACTACTTACTGGACCGTAATGTTCAAAGTAACCTTTGGTCTGGTGCCCCTGGTGGAGTTCACCTCTACAACAATCTCCAAACTGAAAGCGCTGGATGTAGCAGGAGGTGGGACATTGTAGAGTTGAGTAATCTGGGAAACAGGTAACCAAGAAAGGTTTGAGATTCATTAAAGTGAACCAAAGCATCAAGCATAGAGACATAGGTGTAGATTTCAGTGGGGATTCTTTGACCTCAGTATTCATAAAATGTACTTTTGTTCCCTGCTAGTACAAACAAGAAACAAACTAAGGGCTTTTATTTTGAAAAGACGCCGTAAAAGTTACTTATACACTCTAAAAGAATATGTTCAGGCTCACGTGCTTGTTTACAGAAACAAAAATAACTATACTGAGGTGTGGGCAGACCATTCTCCAGCACTGACACTGTGCTGTGTGGTATGGCTCTGTGAGTCTAATGTCACACTGATACTGTTCACTGACCTGCACCAAAGCACATGCAGTGCCCTTCACCTCCACGCTGAAATTTCCCGTCACGTCCTCCAGGATCTTCTCCTGGTAGAGCAGTTTGTTGTGCTCATTCACATCAAATGTCAGCTGTTCACTGGGAGTCTGGACTTTCACTGTGCTTGAACCCCCACTACTGTACACCAGAGTGGCATAGAGAGCCAGAGCCTGAAGAGCCACTACCGTGTCCTGCAACATACACACAGAACAGCAGCTGATATTAACAGCGTAAATTCATACAAATGTAAACACTGTATATGAGTGTCACATTCAGGAGTCCATATTATAGGAAACATTTAAAGAGCATCATTCTTTAGAGGTACTTCAGCAAAAAGCATATTTTAGTTTTAAGAATGTGGACATATTTTGCATGTTGTCAGATTTAAATATCTCGAGTCAGGTCAAGTCACTGTTATTTATATAGCACATTTAAAACAACAGCCGTTTTACTAAAGTGCTTTCCAGTAAAAAAAGAAAAAGAACATGACTGGCGATACCAATTAATCTAACAAGTTTAAATGTTAGAGGGTAAAACTCTACAAAAAATATACAAAAACTACTTTACCTGACCATAACACATAATAAGGCTAAAACTTCACAGTGTTATTAATTGTGGAGATTAACCTAATTAATCTGATTATAAGACGAAGACCTTTATTAATTATCAATGACTAATTTAAAACAAATCCAACAAATTCATGGATTTCCAACAGAAACTATGTGCAGGCTTTGTTCTGTTTTGTTATATAGAGCTATTTAGTTTATTTTCTGGTGATTTTCACACAAACATGTAATATACAAAAATAACTGTTGGGAAAAGGATGGCATATGTAGTACATGTGATTTGTAGTTGATGAGCTGAAACACTTCTGTTGTCCTGGATGCATTAAATAGAGGAGCTATGAGGTAACATTGCTGTCAGGTCAAACTAATACATTTATAGATAAATAGAGAGATTATAGTATTCATTTATAGACTGAGAAAAATCTACTGTTTCATAAACAAGGTCAAATGTGTAAAAGCCCACTGAATTCGCTTAAAAATGCATAAAACAAGGCAGTTTCTCATTAAAACTTGGCATTATGGAAATACTTGGTTTTCACAAGATGGCAAAGCAGGACAGCAAAGCTTCCATAATGGGTCTCAGCTGGTCTCACACATGTACATGAACTTGGTTTTCATCACGTCTGTCTATATAGCTGTGTCCCAATTCAGAGGCTGTGTCATTCGAAGGCTGCATTTGAAGGCCGAACGTGTCCCAGTGGCACGACGAAGGCTGTCCCATTTCATTAAGACAGGAGGACTCCTTCAAATGCAATGTCCTAATATTTAAGTTCATATTAGTGTGAATGTATTTAAATAAGCTGAACATCTTGTTTTTGAGACAGTTTAATCAAGAGCAGCCGTACAATACAAGCACCTCAAGCTGTTCAAGTTGATTAAAATGTTAAAAACAAAAATCACAATTGCAGGATCCATTTCAGTCCAAAGATTTTGTAAAATTATAGCATTGTCTTGTGTTCACCCTCGGGATGAAAGTTTGGCAGTCCAAGTTGACGCTACCGGACGTGACAACGCAAGCAAGAAGTCCGTTGTAGTCTGGACCATTTAACAGATGCTCAGATTCAGCCTTTGTGTCCTTCGAGGACCTATACCTTGAAGGACGCAAAGGCTCCATCCTTAGAAGGATGCAGCCTCTGAATTAAGACACGACTTCTATGTCCACTTCAAAGCCCTGATTTGAGCCATTCAAGCTGTGCAGTACCTGAGTGGAGGAGAAGCCTCCGCGATCGTTCTGCTGCTTCGTCAGCCACCTCACGATCAAGGCGGATTGGTCTAGTTTTCTGTGAGACGGGGGGACGCTGAGTTTGGCCATCAGCACATAGGAGGTGATCTCCACAGACAGAGAGGCTGATGTTTCTGCTGATTTCTGGGACCAGTACATCAAACGCCCTAAAAACAGACATCCACAAACAGACACAGTGTAAGTCACAGTCACAGTAAATCTGAATGATTTCCTGCATGAGGATGATTCACCTTCTCTTTTTACAGCTATGTCAAGGTGATGCAGAAGGACAGAACGGGTCTCCATGTCTCCCGCCAGAGAGAAGACGTACGCCATCAGAGCTGTGGTGTAGGTGTTGTTGAAGTCCCTGACGTACTCCTTGAGGCACGACAGGCTCTTGTTCACCACAGGATTCTGTAACAGATAAAAAGAACACATTATTTAGCCTTTTAGGGCAGAGATGTGATAAATTAAAGTATTGACTTCCTGAACTTCAGGGTTAGGACACTGTGTTTGATTACTGTGTTAACAAGTTCTCATGTTCCAGGACACTTTAGGCAAAGGACTTCAATGGATGATTGTCATAGTACTTAACTCTACCCAGGGACTGGGCAGCTTGCAGAAGAAATTAGTTATGAAATGGCCTAGTCAAGAAAAGAGACTCACTGAAATGTGGCGAGGGAACTTGAAACGAGTAGCACATGTAAGAAAACATCCAAACAAAGTTACTTATGCTTAATGGGGCAATACTAGCTTTTGACGCCAAAGGAACATCTAATCTTTCCACAGAAATATATATATTACATCTATTGGGAGAGATCTACGGGGAGAACATGCAAACTCCACGCAGAAAGATCCCGGTGCCCCCACCGGGACGCGAACCGGCGACCTTCTTGCTGCGAGGCAACAGTGCTACCAACTGCGCCACCTTGCATTTAAACATATTTTTAACAAATTTAAGTCCACGACCATTTAGGTAAAAACATCTGTGAAATAGCAGCAATATCAAATGTAGAGACGAAGGCACTGATGTTAGACAATCATCGGTTTTTCACATCGACTAAATTTGTTCATCGGACCGATACCGATATATGGGGAAAAAACACTAATAATGGCCCATACCGATGTGCTCACCGAAATATTGTGCATCCCGAGTTGTTCTCCAACATATTATCTTTATTTCTCAACATTGTTTTTAAAGAGGGACAAATGTTTATCCAAATATGTTAAAAAAGCAAACACTAGTCAATCCACTATGTCCCTAATGTATCACATGATGGTAAAGCTGAATATTTTAAGAAGTTTAAAGACACCATAGACTGAAAGGATGCAATAAAAGAAGGAGAAAATAATTCATGTTAATGTAAATCTTGTGAAGTTTTTTCCAAGCGGTTTACGAGATTATTTGAGTCTACTCACCTTAGCAGACACATTCATCTCCAAGAAGGCACCAATGATGTATGCGGTGAGAGTCACCTTATCAGACACACCGCCCTGTAGGGAGAGAACATCGTACAGACTTTGTCATCAATGTAACTGCAGCATTCAGGGACCTGAATCCCAAAAGTCATTCTGAGCAATGCTTATATGCCTATCGCAATTGGAGGTAGTTTGTTTCACAGATGACTGAGACTTGCAATAAATTTGGGAGTCCCACAGAGCTGTTGCATGCTCTGGCAGGAGTCGTGCTGACAGAGCTGAAACCTGCTAAATCTGGCTCGACTGCTTCAGTGGAAGCGGCTAGACATCTTTTGGGTCTCAGGTCATTACAAGTCTGGATTCATGTGAGTTGGGAGTAGGGCTGGATCCAAACATCCAAATATTCGGTCGTTGTGGTGGTATCCGGATAGCAATTTTGATATCCGAATATTCGCCCGCCAGCCCCTCCCCTCTCGGATGGGAGGTAAGATGTCTTCAAGAACCAAAATGAAGTCCAGTTGTCTTCCACTGAACCACATAGGATCACCATAATGACCTGTGAGACTGAACATCTATACAGACACCATGAAAGGGAATCTTCTCATGCTGAAAATCACTGCTTGCGTGTTGGAAATGTGACCCAGGCTGGTGTTATTTTTTTAAAGTTATTTTTTTGGCCTTTATGCCTTTATTTGATAGGACAGTGGGAGAGAGACAGGAAAGTGGGGAGAAGAGTAGGGGGAGGACATGTGCGGGAAAGGGTCATGAGCGGGACTCGAACCCATGACCTCCGCATCGGGACTGTAGCCCTGTACATGGGACGCCAGCTCTACCAGGTGAGCTATAGCGGCGCCCCTAGGCTGGTGTTATTTACTACAGATCTATGAATGAAATGGAAGCTGAAGCTAAATGCCACAATAATAATAATAATAATAATAATAATAATAATAATAATAATAGAGAAAGAGATTTTTTTTTTTAGATAATTTTTCATTACTTTCTTCAAAGTCAGAAGTTTACATACACTAAGATTACCATGCTTTCAAACTGTTTGGGAAAGTCCAGATGATGATGTCATGGCTTTGGAAGCTTTCGATAACATTTGAGTTAATTGGAGACACACCTGTGGATGTATTTTAAGGCACATCTCAAACACACTTTTGTGACAACATAAAAAATCTAACGAAACCAGCCAAGATATCAGGAAGAGAACTGTGGACCTCCATAAGTCTGGTTCATCCTTGGATACAATGTCCAGATGCCTGAAGGTTCCATGTTCATCTGTTCAAACAGTTATATCAAGTATAAACACCATGGGAATGTCCAGCTATCATCCCGCTCATGAAGGAGACGTTTCTGTGGCCCAGAGATGAAGTGTTTTGGTGCGAAATGTGCGTATCAACTCCAGAGCAAAGAGCTTGTGAAGATGCTGCTGAAGCAGGTCATTATCCACAGTGAAACCAGTCCTGTAACGACATGGGCTGAAAGGCTACTAGAAAGGAAGAAGCTGTTACTCCAAAAGCAACACAAAAAAGCCAGATTACAGTTTGCAAATGCACACAGGGACAAAGACCTCAATCTTGGAGATATGTCCTGTGGTCTAAAGAAATAAAACTGAACTGTTTGGCCTTAATGACCATCGTTACATTTGGACAAAAAAGGGTGAAGCTTGAAAGCCTGAGAACACCATCCCAACTGTGAAGCACGGGGGTGGCAGCATCATGTTGTGGGAGTGTTCTGCTGCAGGAGGGACTGGTGCACTTCACAGAACAGATGGCATCATGAGGAAAGAACATTATGAGGAAATGTTGAAGCAGCATTTCAAGACATCAGCCAGGAAGCTAAAGCTTGGGCACTAATGGGTCTTCAGATGGACAATGACCCTCAGCATACCGCCAGATTAGTTACAGAGAGGCTTCAGGACAACAAAGTCAGTGCTTTGGAGTGGCCATCACAAAGCCCTGATCTCAATCCTGTCGAACATTTGTGGGCAGAGCTGAAGAGGCGTGTGCGAGCAAGGCAGCAAACCTGACTCAGTTGCACCAGTTCTGTCAGGAGGAATGGGTCAGAATTCCAGCAAACTATTGTGAGAAGCTTGTGGAAGGAAACCCAAAACGTTTGACCCAAGTCATACAGTGTAAAGGCAACGCTACCAAACACTAAGGAGATGTATGTAAACTTCTGACTTTGAGAAAGGTAGTAAAACATTCTCCAAAAAAATATCTCTCTCATTATTTTGGCATTTAGCAAATAGAAATAATTTCGGTAATCCTAACTGACCTAAAACAGGAACATTTTAGACTGGTTTAATGTCAGATAGTGAGAAAATGTGTCTTTTTATAGTGTATGTAAACTTCCGGTTTTGAACTGTACTTCTACAAGAAGATGTTCCTCTGTGAAAATGACCATTTCCAATCTGTACAAACTCTACAGGCACCACTGGCTTACCTTCATTCTGTTGTTGAAGAGTTTTCCTGACTGTTGAAAACAGCCGTTTTCTTGTTGCTTCCCTTCCAGCCATGTCCTGGACTCTTTAATCTTTTCGGGATCGATGTAGACGAAGGACTTCGCTTTGACAAAAGATCTCAACACAAAAGCAGTCAGCCTAAGGAAACACATAGCAAAGTTACAAACACATGTACAGACTCATATCCATTAAGTACTGAAAACAGGTTATAATTAAGGTTGTAGGTTAAGCTGATTTATATATTTTTAGCAGTTCACATGAACATGTTGGTGAGCAGATGGCAGTGTTGGGATGTAACTCAGTACATTCACTCAAGTAGTGCACTGTAGAGCTGCCAAGACCGATCCACATAAACAGTGAGATCCACACTGACATCAGTTTTATAACTGGTACATGACTTTTCTTATTTCAGTTTATTGTAGCAAATGTTTATCTTTTGTATCACAAAGCGCTCTCTCTCCTACAGGTATGATTCTTTTTGTTTCCGAGTTAGTATGTACGCGTGAAATGGTAGATGATGTATGTCTGTGTGTACATTGTGTGTGGATGACTGATTAGTAGTTTTCTCACCAAGTGTTTCCTGTTCCTGTACCAAATGTGCTGTATGAACCATCATGATGTTTGTAGTTCAGCTGTCTCTGGTATCCTGTGTGACAAGAGAAACACCTAAATTAGGACATTACTGACACGTGTTGTCAGATTTAGTAGGATTTTTGCTAAGTGGCAGTGGTTATGTTTTCTGGAGATGTAAAGAAAAACTGGGGGCAAATTTGTGCCATTGGCTGACAAATGAGAGATAAAAAGATATGCATGGAGAGAGAGGAGGAATGATATTCAACAAACACAAGCAAGAAATGCTATGATCTGAACCATGTGTAGCCTCTAGTTGGAATCATGAGCACCGTCACAGCACCATCACATGGTAGATTCAGCTGTTCTGAATGTCTTAAATGTCCAACTCACCACTGGACAGGAAGTTGAAAGCCTTCTCTTTAATGGCTGGAGTTAGCTGCTTTGTCTTTTTAAGGTACTGGAGGATGTAGATGTTGGGGGCCAGGAGCGCCATGTTCTGCTCTCCACATCCATAAGGCATCCTCAGAAGACCATCCAGGTTCTTCAGAGGCCGGCCGAGGATGTCACCTGTACAAAAACACCATATCACTAAGACTCAGCAACCAACCCAACCTGTGATTTTAACTGGATTGTAGAAATGTATGTATCCAGACAAATTCACCAGCATACAGGTGGTATAAACCAGGTCAACGAGTTTAGAAAAATACAATTGGGAGTGCACAAAAAGGCGCATAATTAGTCAGAATGTTCTCTTTATGCTATGGCAAAAGTATTATTTTGAATTTATTACAGTGATGCCTTCAAGGAGCCTGTTATACTTCCCACAGGTTGGTTGGCTAAATCAGCGCTCATGTCAAATGAATTCATCAGTTTACCCTGGACTGATACTAAAGCGCGGGCAGATCCTTTAATCACATCTGCAGGCAGTTGAAGCTCTATTTCTTCGTTCAAAGTCTTTCCCTCAGTGCCTACAGACAGACAGAGACAATCACTTTACAGAGAGAAACTCAAGTTGAAGTCAGTTCTAAAACAATGGCTGCCACAAGTGAGAGGTCTGTGAGCATGGTCAGTTCTTTTATCACTTTGATCAAACGTTGACAGTAATTACATTTAAAACATAGCGATACACATTTTAGTTAACATTTTTGAATCATATATCATCCAAACTTCTAGCATTTAGGTCTCCATTTTCAGAGTATTTGACAGGCCATGTCTGGAGTAAACCACACTGACCTTTGGGACAGAGCAGCCGGTTATGCGTGTCCGTCTTCTCAACTCCCTCAGCCTGAGGGAAACAATGGGGGAAATAATAACTAGAATGAGATTCACTGTCAACTTTGTGAGTAAAACTCATTATGAAATTTCTGTACACAAAGGAAAAATGGCTGAAAGTAATTTTTGTGATCTTGTTTTCAAGGCACCAACCTTTACTATGAGAAATTTAGTGACCTTGTCGATGCGACCTCTGTCTGGCACGTGCACAGCCTCATTGTTGCAAGAAACGGTAGATTTCTCAGCCTCAGCAGTAACAGTCATATTCACAACCCCTAAACAAGATCAGGGTTGATTGAGATCCGGTAAAATCCTCAAATATCAAAACATTTTGTAGCTGAGATGAATCGCACTGATTTCACAGAGATGGAAAAAAGATGTGTTGTGGAAAGAGGGGCAGCAGTTCCTCCACCCTGACTCGCTTTAACCTTCACACCAGTGTGGATGAAAGGCTGAGCCTCACCTAAGGTCATGGGGTTAATGTAGTAGTTGAGGGTCTTGCGCTCATTGCCACACAGGCAGAATCTGTCCGGGGTTCCAGGGAGAAGGATGATGAAGTAATCTGTGGAGGCTGCTGGAGTGACTTTGATCTGTTCAAGAGACACAATATATGACCAAACACTTTAACAACACCATTTTACAAATCAAATTCAAGTCAATAAATGGTTAACATGCAAAAATATTACTCGAAAATTATCCCCAAGATCTAATTGGCGATGGGACACACTATGGAGTAATCCCACTCATTGTGTCAGTTAGAGGGTTAAAGGGTGTGCAGTAAGGAAAGGATTATGACACCCTCATGAAACTTATGACCTCAAATCTAATACTGTCATTTATCACCAGCAACACCATGTTTCTTGAGGTTTACCATGCAGGATGTGTTCCTTAACAACTGTTCATTCTCTAATATGACATTGCCTGAAGATCACAATACTGTCAGTCTTAAGGCAGAACAATGGTGGTTTTGCTATACAGCTCATTTTGGTACATAAATGTATTTTCAGCACTGGCTCATCTGGATATTTAGCGAACCGCTGGCTTTTCCTGTTCTTGTTTAAATTTCTGTTTGGCACTTACTTTCATTAATGACAAACACATACTTGCTAAACTGACTCCTGTGCTTTGTGTTTGGGTTGGAGTCTATCCCAGCTGACTCAGGGTGAAGGCAGGTTCACCTGGACAGGTCACCAGTCTATCACAGGGCTACACTTAGAGACAGACAACCAAGCACACTCACATTCACACCTACGGACAATTTAGAATCACCAATTAACCTCAACATGTTTTTGGACTTGTGGGAGGAGGCCGGAGAACCCGGAGAGAACCCACACTGCACGGGGAGAACATGCAAACTCCACGCAGAAAGATCCCGGTGCCGCCACCGGGATGCGAACCAGCGACCTTCTTGCTTCGAGGCAACAGTGCTAAACCAACTATGCCACCTTGCAGCCCTAATTAGCAAATACTAGCATGCTAAATCACCACATCAGCATGTGTCTTCATCAGCATGTCAACACAGTGGCAATAGCATTGAGGTCAAGTGAAATCATTTGTTACCATGATGCAGCTTGACAGGTAGTTGAAGACGGTTGCTTTCAGTACAAACTTTTCCCCCCGGACGATGGAGTAGGGCAGCGTGAGATCCAGGAAGAAGGGCTGGAAGACGGTGACTTCTTTACGAGGAGCCAAACCAAAACCCTGAGCAGACAAACAGAAAGTCTCCGTCTCCCAGGTGGTGATGGTGTCTGGGACGGTGAGGGACACGTTCTTTGTTCCAGATGATCTGGATCAGCAGATATACACAAACACACTTTGTCAAATGGTAAAACATACTTACAAAACACAAACACAAACTTTGAGCTGAGAATGTCCTGCTGCATTTTCACAAAGTAGCTGAATTCCATGATGATGAGGAAATTTGGGAATTAATTCCCATATTTGAACAAAGAGTAGAATTCTGAACACGATGCACTCTGTCAAAAGATCTTTTGATTGTTTCATACAATTTCTGAAGCATCACAGACATCCTTAAAATTAAAAGTCTCAGCTGACTTCTAAAATGACCTTCATTGCATTTATCTCTTCAAGGACACAGCTGGAAGTGTATATGCCTTATGGGTCCATAGCTGTACTCAAAGGTGTTCTCATTTTTCCTTATTTCAAGACCATCAAATCCAGTAGCAACAGAAGCTCACCCAACTTTCACCACGTCCCAAATCCAAGTCTCCGGAAAGAAAGTGCGGACTGTCTCTATTGGTTTAGCATCAAGAGACTTACGAGGACTGGCGAGTCGTCTACTAGGAAGGCGCCTGAAACCAATACCTGAAAAGAAACAAGAACATATTTTTATGAGAAACAGGGACAGTAAATACAAGGGTAAATATTTTAATTTCAGTAAACATTAAGCATGTGGCAAAGGACAGATCAAAACACGTTAAAAAAGAAAAAAAGTTACCAAATCGATTATAATGGTATTTTCTTCCTTTGTACTGGATGCATGTAGGTAGTTGGATCCTCAAGTTTGTTGCCACCTTCAGTCCTACATTCTAGACAATCCAACAACACACAAATGTCACCAGAGGTTCATTATATGTACGGCAACCTAAACTGTCACATGTAATGTTGGCTTAAAGGCAACATATATACTTTTAAAAATTAATTACTATTATTAATTGCAATTAATCTCATTTGAGCATTTCAAGCAAAGTTTTTCGATTCAAATAAATTTTGGTTGACAATGAAATCTGTAAATAAACATATTAATGAATTTAAATAACAAAAATGTTTATTTTTCATCTATAATATCTGCTTTTTTTTTTTATCTGTCTACTACATTTACAGATTAGTGCAAATTCAAAGTGCAATTATAGCTACTATATAAGACTTTTTGTCTTAAAACTCTTGGTTGCACAATTTGCACATAACCATGCTCTGCCTCATGGGACGTGTCCACAGGATCTGTCGATTTCTCGCTTCCCATTCATTGTGTGAAACACCCTGCGTCGTGTTCTGGAGCATCCTGGCAGTTTTGAGCGATGAGACGTAGCGTCACCTTCAACCTCATTTGTGGACACCTGGCATTAGGCCTCAGTAAGAAAAAGATGTTCTGCCCAACATGCCAAGCAATGCGATCTCATCTTCCATCACTGCTCACCAAAGTTTCTTGTGCACTGACGTCACTCAATGCATCCTGTCATCTTCGTTGCAGCTAGCAAACAAACTTTAGGTGTAGTACCACTACCTACAGGGCTGGAGTGTGTGCATCAGTGTTATCAGCAGAAAATAGTGAACGGAGAAAGGTACGATTTAATGCGTTGTTTTTTTTAAACACATTATTTTTTCTGTGATTGATTAATCGAAAATTACACATTGAAGCCCTAGTCCTTATATATGTATATATATATACATATATACATACACACACATGCGCACACACACTGTATAATACCTCGAAAACTGTGTGAACATCGTCTATGTCCCGACCAGGAAAAGGGAAATTGGATCTTTTTGATCTCACATGCAGGCATTCTGTGGAATCTTGAAGCTTATGTGGGATATAAGTTGCCTTCTTGAAAGGCAACAAGTCAAAAATCTGAAAAAGAAAAATGTTTTCAAGATATAAACTGACATTTGTTGTGAACACAAGACTAAACAGTGCCTCAAGTGATGCATAATACATAATTTTTTATTTTTTTTAAATTCTAAAAAATAAAGACTAAATCTAAATATACTGTGTAAAAACTAATTGAACTGTAGCTGATAACCTGTGACTTTGTGTGGCAGCTCACCTCTGAGGTGAAGAAAAGTACACAGTGTAATCTATTGTTAGACCCTGATACATCCTGTCTCCATGTCGGGTTAATTTTGAATTGTAAGTAATTAATGACATTAGTGCTGCTGTTCTATATGTGTAAATGCAACTCTCTCACTTTCCCATTCATATTCATCCTGCTGCTGTCTGATGCTGCAGGTATTTCATAAACTTAAAAGGAAAGACTCCTGGAAGCAAGAAACTCAACTGAGCTCATTAATCTGACCTGTTACAGTCTCAGTCTTCCTTACAGTAAAGTTCTATTTTTATGGACTATGAGTCTGTAATAGATAAATTCTATCTGTGGATGTGACAGCATGCGGTTCAGACCTGTGCTGTGAGAAAAGTGATACGAAAACATTACTGAATCTGACCCAGTAAGTTTGCCGTTGACACTTGAAAGGAAAAGTGAGCAGAGTGCTCTTTCAAACATGAAGCTGACGTGTTCAAATGACGTCAGATGAACAGGAAGGAGTGCATGTCTGTAAGGGGCTTATTTATCTTATTTGTGGCTAACACCAGCAGTACCTTATCTGCATTCAGAGTCTTCCCTGGCTCTTTAATGAGAACACTCTGGTCGATGGCGCTCACACCACACAGAGAGTTTGGCTTTGCCTTCAACTGCATGTTGATGTCCTCTCCTGGGACAACTGAGGGTGGTGAAAAGTCCAGCAGCACCTGACACACACAAAACACACATCAAACCAGTCAGACTTTATTGGAACAAGATGTAAACTTGTGATTTTGCCATAAGTTCAAACTTCTGTGAGACAACACACTAGTGGAGTTCTGTATGTGAAGGGCAGATCGTTGTTCAGTACATAAAGTTGGACTGCCACAGACAGCGTGGTCAAGTGTAATCTGATGTCTATAAAACTGCAACACAGTATGTACAAATGATCCTCGGGGTTTTGGAGATGCTCAGCACAAATTTCACCCCAGTCTCAAGAAAAAAGGAGTAGCAAAATTGACAAAATTCAGCTTCAAGAGCCAAAATAAGAAAGCATTTCTTTATGATTTTGCAATGTCCTGTCAACTTAAACTTAGTTTTTAACGGATTGGGTTAGTACAACATTCACAATTTCCACTTCTCGTCAATCAGTGGCAACATATTGATCTTCTGTATCACCAGCTCAAACCTACTTTGAGTTTGTACCTAAATCTGATCCATACTGTTGGTGCCACATGTCTTCACTGACCTTGTCACTGAAGCATTTCTCAATAGGGAACTCAGCACTGTGGGCGATCACATTCTCGCTGGGAAGGACAGCGTAAGCCACAACCTGGACCTCTGGTACCAGCGCTTGATTGGTACCCGGCAACTTGAAGGACACCTCACCCTCATTCACTGAAACAGCAACCCAACTATTAGAAATCACTTCTCTTTGAACAGTTGTCACCCACACATGCTTTCACAGATCAACTTAACAGATCATAGATTTTGTATTTAAACACCTTTCTTTTTCAATTTGACCTCTTTGTGTCCTTGCATGACAATGGCTCCTCTGGACAAGACCTGGGAGAAAATGACACATAGCATGAGTAATGGAGTGGTAAAATCTTCACTTCATTTCTGTCTGCTGTTCTGGTATTAACTTGGTCTGTTGGAGGTATTTTGCTTTACAAAACGTAATATGGCTTTAACCTATTAATTCTACATTTATCAAACCAACGTTGAGCTGGTGCACATGAAACAGTCCAGAGTTTGTGACAACCAGCCAGTTTAACAATATCTGCAGCTGAATATCTTTCCTGTTGCTAAGACCAGAAACTAAAAAGGACTTGAGTGAACAAGTAAATGAACCATCTGTGGAAGCAGGTGCTGCTCCTCAGTGGAGAGGGCATGTAGTTGCAGCAATGCTAATGCTAACGCTAATGGAAGCAAGACAGACAGAGATGGAGTGACTCAGAGTTTTGAAATAACAACTGGATTTGCTGAGGAAAACCTGTCTGTTCTATCACTGCAGAGGGACCTGGACACTGAGCCTTTTCCACTAACCTTACCATAGATGAGAGTAACACCTGTAACCATGGTTACTATACACAAAGATGGCTTTGGCCTCAAAGTGTCCATATGATACAAAGCTTGAATACATAAAAATGAGACGAAAATGTCACTAACAAAAACTAGATTAAAATGTGGCACAAGGACTCACAGTGCTTAAATAATAACTCTTCAACTACTGAGGCTCATAAAGAGGAATGTGACACTGCTTGAAGTGTGAACGTGTCTGATGTTTCCAGTAGTCTGCCAATGAATGCATCACGTTTGTACTGATTTGTAAGAACGTCTGGCTCTGTTGTGCCTTTATTGTGAATGCACTAATCTGACCATAGAGATCCTGGAGGAGTCATTTTTTTCACTGCTGACTGATAATGAGGAGGAGGCACTTTCAAATTTCCTGAGTTAATCCTGAATGAAGCATGTTCCTTGCAGTGCTACATGTACAGTGTACATCTTCATTACAACCAGCTGAGTAAAGTAACAAAGTACATTTACTTAAGTACAAATTTAATGGTAGTTAGCTTCCTTCAGTTTTTTCCATTTATGACACTTTAAACTTCTCCTCCACCACACCTGAAAAGGGAAACAATGTACTGTTTTCATCACTGCAACTACCTGACAGTTTTAGTTACAAGTTAATTTTTGCATCCAAAACATAAGAAGAACTTATGACGTTTTAAGATAACTGAAACTACTTGACAGCTTATACAAGTTAAAGCTAAAAACATTCTTTGATTGATTCATAAGACGATTGTGAGAAAATTTTGATCACCAACTTCAGCATTTGTGACTGTTTTTCTCATTATTTTTGGATCTTTCACAAACCAACAATTAACAGAAAATATTTAGCAGATAATTGATGATTGAAAAGATCATTGGTTGTAATTCTACATAGAATGGTTCTAAATGTGCTCCATATCAATCAGCTACAACAGGGAAATCCTACTTTAGCAATAATGCATGTGTCAATATTGATTTAATGATACATGTAATAAGATAACAGCTAAAAAGGAAATTTGTCTGCACTGAGTCCTTATACTTTTAATACTTAGGAAACATTTCAATGCAGGACTTGTACATGTAAAAGAGTGCTTTCACAATGTAGCATTTTACTTACAGGAAGTAAATACTTCCTCCACCATGGATGACAACAAAAGAACCCATGTCGATTATGAAAAAAGGAATCTACCAGCTAAAAAATAAAAAATAAAAAGTTATATCAAATCGCATGAGACCAGCGTGCTTCCTGTTGGCAGGTCTTGTTAAAGGTTATTACTAAACCTATTACACAATGAAATAGTACCACTGAGCACAAGAACAAGAGAACTGTGGAGCAGCATTTCTGATTTTCTGCTCTGACCATATCACAGTAGGTTCAGCTGAAGTGCTCCTTTAAGTTAGAATTCAATAAATGAAATTCAGTCAAGTTTTAAAACGTCTTTCCACTGTTCACCGTCTCTGGAAGGCAGAGTCGGTGACAACCTGAGAACCAACTCACCAGATACATCAGATCCACAGTGCCCGGGTCTTCTCCCACTATAACATACTCGATGGAGATGTTCTGCGTTGCACGACAGGCAAGGGTTTTATCGTTCTTCTTCACCTGAAGGAAGCTGACTGTTTTAGCATCAGGAGACGCAGGACGGGACCTGGTCAGTGTGTGTGATCCAGACACATTGTAGGGAATTCTATGTTTGGGGTACTCCAGTGTCGGTGAAGCGCTTGCCTACATTGTACAAAAGAAACTTTGTCAATGGTGGTTTGTGTAGAAGAAGGAAGGTCAACTAAATATTAAACAGTTTCAATATGGCCACTAGTTACAATGGCAGCATCTTGGACAGTTGCAGTATACTAAGAAACCATTTCACAGTCAACTTTTAGGCTGTGTTATTACTTTTATGACAGCTTACAGACAGTAAAATTAAATTCAATGCATTTATTTTCAACACTTCATTAAATGAAAAACTGCAAGATAAAAATTTTAATATATTGATGTCGATAAACCTTCCAGGTTGCAAACATTATTTTGCTAAGTTGGGCTTTTTGGAAATTGCATCAGCTGTTATACTGTATGGAATTTCAACTTAAAATTCTGCTTTGTTGATTTAAAACTAAATTCATGTTGAGGTAGATGAATGAAATTCCCTTGATTACTTAATAACACAAGGTCAAAATTATGTCTTCAACAATTAAATCCAACTAAAGAAAAGCATTTGGGAATATTTTCAAATGTGATGCGAGAAATAGTGGACTCATATTTACAAGTGGAATTTGGCCATCCCCTTGAGTTTACCAAAGGGGAAGATTAGGAACAAATGTGTTGCTGAAGTAATTTCGTAAAAGGTACTATATAAAGCAAAATATAAAAATCCCAAAAACTACTAAAGAAAGGAACAACTAAATCTTTTAAATGTTTGTAAACTTAAAAATGTGTTTATTATTATGGTAATTAAGTACATAACCACACTAAAATCATTTTAAAAACCTGGGGAAAAAAATACTATTTGGAGCAACTTAAGTTTTGATGAGTCAACTTAAAAACTTTTGTTCATGCTGCCATTCATTAAGTAAGTAGTCATTAATAGTACTTTGATTGCAGAGGGAAAGCAAACCCTCCTAACTCGTGTAGGTTGTCAGATGAACATAATTTTTTTAAAACTTGTCTTACATCAAAAAAACGCAAACTGTTCCATTTATTTATTTTTGTTGAAACATATCTCAGAGTGCAGTACAACTTTTTACTTACATGGAGACGAACATCCCCTTTTAAGGCCTCTGTGAGTAATGCGAAGGAGGCGACACCACTGCTATTAGTTGTGAGTTTCTGCAGCCGTCGTGGCGACCGTATGTCACCCTCAAACAGGTACACCGGAATACCAGGAATGGGTGTATTATCGTAATCAACGGCTATAACCTGTTGAAAGAACAGAGCTGTATCACTGGACATGCACATGATCTAAGCTGCCTCGTGCAGTACATGATACAGAGAAACACAAGATTAGTTTTCCACTTACTTTTCCTCCCACCCTTGGTCGTGACCCATAAATCTTGGGTGTGTCAATGAAAGACAGCCTTCGAATCACATATGAAAGCCCGATTTTGCCCCTTTGTGTGCGTGAAATACCTGAATATGAGAAGCCTCCATGTTACAACAGTGTGAATGCCTTATTGTTGAAATACATAAAATTGTCTTCAAACACTAAATTTCCCTGTTAGATCAGAAATCTATTATCTAATATAATACTTGCCTGTCCCCTCCTCTTCCACTTCAGCGCTGACATCAAACACATCTT